TTTTTAGGGTTTTACTGTACAAAGGCAATTTTTGACTGTTTGACCTAGCCAATGGCAAATCAAGCTCAACAATGGACTCAAGGACTCAATGACATTATCTTGACCCATTCAACAAGTTCAAAAGATCTCAAATGCATAGGATTGACAGATGAATTTTTCAGTCAACTGATCAAAATTTGACTGTATACTGAAAAGTCAAACTTTGACTTTTTGGTCAAAATCAAGTGCCAAGGGTCATTTTTCATCAAGACATGTCAACTTATGAAACTTGTTCATCAAGAAACCCAAAAATGCAAATTAGGGTTTAAAGTGGAAAAATTTCATAACTTAGAATTTTTCTAAGTTATAAAAGTTTCTTATTTTTTCCTAACTTTGTCCCATTTTTTCACCAAGATGAAAATAGATTCAAACAAAACTTGCAACATGAATGTTTTAGTCCATCACAAAGTCTAAAACTTTTATTCACAACGTTTTCTCAATAGAATCTTGTATCTCAAGTTATGATTTTGGAACAAGGGTACCTAAAACTTTTAACTTAGAGAAATTTTGCCCTAGTTTAGGCAGGATTTTGACCCATCTTCTTGGCCATTTTTCACATAGTTACACTTGGCGTTTCAAGTTGCATTTCAAAGATGGATTGTATTACATGTTTCAAGCTTTCCAAATTGTCTAAGAACTCCTCAAACACTTTTGTGGTTAGGGAGAATCGAATGCTTGAAGTTGGCAAAAACTCACTTTGAAACCATGGTCAATACATGTTCATACCAAGTTGCAAATCTGACCAAAGTAGCTTAGTACATGATTACAGGCCTCTAAACCAATTTAAAATCCAAAATTGAATGCAAATACATTGGATATTGGCATTGTTCTGATCAAGAGATCTTTGTACATTGAACTTTTCCATTTTGAGCATAAAGGTCATACTTCCATTTTCATAAAGGCCACTTTATGTCAATTTCCATTTTCTTGAGCCTTGGACTTTTTTTTCCTTGCAGCAAACAACTTCCCTAATCTCAGGCATAGTACACCAAGTTGAGCATGCTTGTAACTAGCCTATACAGGCCCTA